AGACTGCATAACGAGAGACTTGTAAAACTGGTATGGGAGGAGATTCCCACAGGCAAAAGACTACTCGGACGTCCCAGAATGTAGATGGAGAGATAACATCCAAGCAGATCTCCGGAAAATAAACATTACATTTGACCTAAGTTGATGGAAGATCGAACAAATTGGAAAAAAGTTGTACAGTCAGCCAAGACCCATCCAGGGTTGTAGCGCTACGTGATGATGATGATGATAGCAGAACTAGATATTCCGTCGCATCTAATAAAATTGGTAAAAGCAACTCTTTTTAAAGTTAAGTTCAAAGTCAAGGTACAAAACAGAGTGTCAAGGTCTTCAAACACATACTGGATTACGCTAGGGAGACAGTCTATCGTGCCTATTGTTTAACATCGCTCTAGAAAGAGCTATAGAAAAATCAAGTATAACAATCAGAGGTACGATCATTAATAGAAGTGTACAGATATTGGCATACGCAGATGACATTGACATAGTAACACAGAAAAAAAGAGACCTGATACAGGCTTTTGAAACATTAGAAAAAGCCGCGAAGACAATGAGACTGCAGGTCAACGTATACAAAACAAAATACATGAAGGTCACGAACAGCACACAAATAGCGGCACCACAAGATCTAGTTACAGAAGCACATACATTCGAAGGGGTCTCGAGTTTTATATATCTACCTACCTGTAAGCGTAGAAGTTAAGAGATGAATATAACTGGCGAACAGAGCTTACTTTTTACTAAAGCAGTTCTTAACATCACACATAATTAGCTGAAAACCCAAGATACGAATATATGAAACTCATATTAAACCTCTCCTGACATACGCGTCAGAGACATGGACTATGGTAAAAAGCGACGAAGAACTGTTAGGCCGCTTTGAAAGAAAAATACTTAGGCCCGATTGTACATTGCAACTTCATGAGGGTTGTTCAATGGCAAGTTTAGTTAAACCAAGGCTCATACAAATTTTGATAAGGTTGGCAACGTAACGCATGCGTATTCATTTAGAGCTTAAATCTCAATTTTCCCGCTAATTTTATATTATTTAGTTTTTGAACGGTTTTTGTGAATATAAGTCCACTAATAATTCTGTTATTTAATATTAGTTTAATTTAATTAATTAGTTTAATTTTTAATCGTATCCTTAGGTTAAATTTATAAATAAACCATTTGAATAGGTACGTAAAGTATATTCTTGCAATATGTTTATTTTCATGTGAAAAATTGTTTTTAGAAGTATATTTTTTATATTTATTTGGATTTTTTATTTTATCAGCAATATTTTGATGTAAATAATGAACTGTATCTTTAGCTAACCTAAATCTTTGCAAAAATTCATTATCATTCCATTTTTCAAAATGATTGTCTCTGGTCCTAAATTGTTTTTGTGTTCTTCTTCCATCTACAATATTTATCATTTCCAGAAAATCTTCATCGTCAGTTAAATTTTCAAAGTTATTCATTTTTTATAATATAACACTACAGTAAGATATAATTATTAAGCTTTCTATTGACAATTACACACAAATAGAAATATGTGAGGTTAAAAATGCCTGAGCTGACGTGGAACCGTCAAACTTCTATCGCTCAGTAGAACCCATGTTTAAACCGAGCTCAAGAATTAAACTTTAGATGTACAACCCACTTCATGCGTTAAACTCGGCAATGGCGCTGAGCTTGAGTTGAGCTACGAATGTACAACCGGGCCTTAGACACATATACGGAAGATTACAAGAAAGCGGGATATGGCATAGGCGCTACAATTTTGAGTTGTATCAATGCTATGAGAAATGCAACATCGTCCAGTCTATTAAGTGTTCAATTTTAAATTCATGTTTAGTCAAGTTAAGTTTGGAAACAATTATAATCAGCTACGTTCTGCAGTGCAGGTTATGTTTATAAACCTCACACTAATCAGCTTCATTTGTATTTAACTGCGATTTTGTGACTTAAAGGCCCGGTTGTACATTCGTAGCTCAACTCAAGCTCAGCGCCATTACCGAGTTTAACGCATGAAGTGGGTTGTACATCTAAAGTTTAATTCTTGAGCTGGGTTTAAACACGGGTTCTACTGAGCGATAGAAGTTTGACGGTTCAACGTCAGCTCAGGCATTTTTAACCTCACATATTTCTATTTGTGTGTAATTGTCAATACAAAGCTTAAAATTATTATCTGTTACTGTAGTGTTGTATTATAAAAAATGAATAACTTTGAAAATTTAACTGATGATGAAGATTTTCTGGAAATGATAAATATTGTAGATGGAAGAAGAACGCAAAAACAATTTAGGACCAGAGACAATCATTTTGAAAAATGGAATGATAATGAATTTTTGCAAAGATTTAGGTTATCTAAAGATGCAGTTCATTATTTACATCAAAATATTGCTGATAAAATAAGAAATCCAACGGATAGGTAAGAATGATAAAACAATCCGAAATATGTTATTTATTAAATGAAATTTATTAACATTTTAGGAACCAAGCTGTATCTTCAGAAAATATGGTTTTTGTTGCCTTAAGGTTTTATGCAACTGGCTCCTTTTTGCAAGTAGTGGGTGATTTTATGGGCATTGACAAATCAACAGCTTGCAGAATTGTTCATAAAGTTTCCAGAGCAATTGCCAGTCTAGGCAAACAATTCATTAAGATGCCACAAAGCGAATGTGAGATGAAAACAGTCAGCAGGGAATTTTATAAGATTAGCCGTTTTCCAAGATGTATTGGTGCTCTTGACTGCACTCATATCAAAATTTCTTCTCCTGGTGGACAAGAAGCAGAAATTTATAGAAACAGAAAAGGATTTTTTTCTATAAATGTCCAAGTAGTGTGTGATGCAGCATGTAGAATTCAAAATATAGTTTGTCGATGGCCTGGTTCTACACATGACTCGACCATATTTAATAATTCTAGGCTAAGAGCAGATTTAGAAAGGGCGCATTATGGAAGATATCTTTTGGTTGGTGATAGTGGTTATGGAATCAAAAAATATCTCATAACACCCTTAGGCAATCCTCAATCACCAGCCGAAAATTTATTTAATGAGGCACAAATTAGAACGAGGAATCCAATAGAAAGGACTTTTGGAATATGGAAACGGCGGTTTCCTGTCTTAGCCTTTGGGATAAGGGTAAAATTACAACATATAGAAGCAATTGTAATTGCAACATCTGTGTTACATAATATTGCAATTCTTTTTAATGATCCACTACCCATACTCCATGAAGAAGAGGAAGCAGCAATGGCAATAGGAAATGTAGACAATGAAGCTGTCTTTGATGGAGGAGCAAGAGAAGTTGATAATAATATAGCAAGATTTCAACTTGTAAATGAATATTTTGCAAATTTATTAAATTAAATGTAGGTACATAATTTATTAACAAATCTAAAATGATTTATATTTTTACAATATGTAAGTATTGTAAAAATATAAATCATTTTAGATTTGTTAATAAATTATATTACTTATTATAAAAATTATAGAAACCTATTTACATTATAAATTATTTAATTGCCCTACCCACTTCCTACTACTAGATGAATAAGACAAATATTAACATTTTTGGGTGATTTTGATACCATAGCAATAAAAAGTTATCTTGAGAAGAGCATATGAAGAACTAGATTAGTATCTTTTGGTTGGTGATAGTGGTTATGGAGTCAAGAAATATCTGATAATACCCTTAGGAAATTCTCAATAACCAGCTGAAAATTTATTTAATGAGGCACAAATTAGAATTAGCAATCAATAGACACTTGGAATATGGAAACAGTAGTTTCCAGAATTGGATACATGTAAAGTTAGAATGCATAGAAGCAATTGTGATTGCAATGTCACACAATATTGCAATGCTTTTTAATAGCCCTTCACTCATACTATGTGAAGAGGAAGCAGCAATAGCATTAACAAATGTAGAAAATGAAACTGTCTTTGATAGAGGAGTAAGATACATATACGATAATATAACAACATTTCAACTTGTAATGAATACTTTGCAAATTTATTAAATGTACATAATTTATTAACATATCTAAAATTAATTATATTTTTACAATAATTATATACATATATCATTTTATCTATACAAACTAATTTACATTATGAATTATTTAATTGCCCTACCCACTTCCCTAGATTATGACAAATATTAACATTTTTGGGTGATTTTGATACCATAGCTATAAACAGTTATCTATGAGAAGAGCATGTGAAGAACTGGATTAGTATTTTTTGGTTGGTGATAGTGATTTACAGAGTCTGATAACACTCTTAGGCAATTATCAATCACCAGCTGCAAATTTATTTGAGGGAAACATTAGAATTAGGAACCAATATTATTTTAAAGTTGTCTACTTTAAAATTTATAATATGTCTGAATTGTCAATATGAATGAGTTGGATAAAAAGAGGAATTTTTCACTAAGTAACAAAAAACAAAAATTGTTTGATTTATTAATGTTTGTATTTTGAGAACAACTTATTAATAAACTTTGTTTAAACTTTATTGTGGCATATTTTTTCTCTAAAACAGTAATAAAATTAGTGGAATGCACAAAAGAATACTTACAATTATTATATTCAACCATTATATGTGCTATTAGTGTTATTATAAATATAGTGTTGAAATGTGGGCATTGAAAGCAAAAATAATTGACCATCTTGAAGAATTTAACATGTGATTAAAACAAGATGAAGAAGAATGCTGCACATCTCTTGGATAGAATGTGTATATAACATGTTCTAGGGAGGGCTAATCCTAAGAGAAAATTATTTACATTTACAGAGGGGGAAAAATACAATGTCATGGAGATTAGACAAGACACCCAAAAAAAAAGCTACAAAAAAGAGATATGATGACACAAATAGAAAGATGATCAAAAAGAAATTCAAAATTTAGAATTATTTTATAGATATATATTTATTTTAAATCGGAAATTTTGTTAAATATAATATTTATCTGCTCCTTTGATAAATTTGGATGTTTTTCAAATATTGACATCTTTATTTTACTTTTTTGGTCCTCTTTCATTAATGCAATTCTTGCATCGGATTCATCTTTTAAAATCTGTAGCTCTAACATATGCTTCTCTTTTATGAGCCCTTTTTTAAATTCCTCTATTTCTGTTTTTGCAGCTGCCCATTGTGATATCTTTGTAGCAATTGTATCAGTCTTGTATTTTTTTTCTAAAAAATTTGAAAATTAAACTAATACATACAACTATTATTTATAATAACTTACTATCTGCTACAACCAATGGTTTTGAAACATTTTTTTTTAATTTCTCTGGCTCACATTTGGTCCATTTACTTTCACTTCCTGTAAGTTTTAACAACATAAGTACTGTAAATAAGCTATATATAAATAAATCAAAGATACATAAGTCAAAAAGTACTAACAACAGAATAACTCAACAACAATGATATTAAAATATTGAATTCAAAATATCAAATAAAATATGTTTGTCTTTTTAGCTTCGAGAAGTCTGTTCCTTTAATTATATTTTTATATTTAATTCCATGTTACATAACAATAATAATATTTCCTATCGTAGATATTCTTGATCTACCCATCTCTTATTTTACCCTTTCTAGAATTTAGTTCTTTATACAACAGTTCTATGAATATTCAAACAAATAAGTCAACAAAAGCAGAGAATATTCATACAATGTTGAAAATATTGATAACATAATAAGATAAATACGAGAATAACAATTCAGGAAATAAAGTATCAGTAATATATTAAACTATAAACTGTATATGTAACTGGTACAGCCATGATTTTTTGTCAGAACTTTACCAAAACAAGATAATAAAAAAAGTTACACTTTATTTGTTTCTACTTACTGTCACTAAGTATATGCTTTGACTCGTAACTAGTGGATGGTTCCTGATCTGCATAATATGTGTGATCGTCAACAAGTGCATTATTTGTAAGCGAGGGACTCCAATCTTCTAGATCATAATGTACCCCTGAAACATTTATTATTTAATTTAAAATATACCTTTAATATTTTGTATAACATACCACTTTCCTCAGTTTCATCACCAGCTTCATACACCTCTTCAGGTTGTTGGACCACAGCATCATCATCAAATTCCGAATACAATCCTTCTAATCGGGTACCTAATATTTCTTTTATGTCGATGTCAATTTCGTTGATCTGACTGTCCATCTGGGAACCTCCACCTGTACCCATAACATGTGCTTTTTCATCAGCAAATTTTCGTTTTGACCTTTTTTTAATGTTCTCGTACTTCTTTCGAAGCACTTTTACCTCACGAAAATTTGACCCGACTGAAGAATTGTATTCTTCCTCTATTTTTTTCCATGCCACCACTTTTTTCGTATTCATGTCCACATTGGACATTTTATTTTCTAAAATGTGGCTGTACTTTTTTGCCAAAGATACCAATATCTTTTCTTCTTGAACGGTGAAATTTGGAGCTCTTCTTGCGTCCATTTTATAAAAAATATACTTCTACAAACAATTTTTCACATGAAAATAAACATATTGCAAGAATATACTTTACTTACCTATTCAAATGGTTTATTCACAAATTTAACTTAGGGAAAAGATTAAAAATTAAACTAATTAATTAAATTAAACTAATATTAACTAACAGAATTATATTCACAAAATTAGTGGACTTATATTCACAAAAACCGTTCAAAAACTAAATATAAAATTAGCGGGAATATTGAGATTTAACCTATAAATGAATACGCATGCGTTACGTTGCCAACCTTATCAAAATTTGTATGAGCCTTGGTTTAACTAAACTTGCCATTGAACAACCCTCATGAAGTTGAACCCACGCTCAAATTTTAGGCCGGTTCAATTAAGCGATCGCTTAAGCCTGCAATGTACAATCGGGCCAAAATAAACTTTGTATGCTAACAGTCCGACCACATATAATCATGGTATGGTCATTTAATTCTTGTGTGCCGAAGGTTTGCAACCATTTGCAAATTTTGAAAGAACAACAAATATAGATATGGAATTGACATCCAAACTAAACAACATTCACTTTCAAAAGTCATGGTAGAATTCAGTATCTTAGTACACTTAATCAAATTAGTAAAAGCAAGCATTTCGACTTTGAAAACCTTATAGATTAGGATGCAGAACAGAATGTCAAGATCCTCCAAACAAACATGGATTAACGACACATCGTACTTCCTATTCGACATGCTTTGGAAAAATTTCGCTGCGTATTTGCTATGTCTTTTCTATTTTCAAGGAATTTCGTGTAAAGAAGAAAGTCATTTGCAAATTGATATGCAAATGAAAACAGTGTACGATCCGTCCCAAACCCTTTTTTCAGTGCGTCATAGTTGATCGAATTCTCTCTAACGCATAAAGCTAGAAGTGACAGAAAAAGACGTGAGTCTGTGATTATTATACATAGAACATCGAAAATTATGTATCGTTCACGAGTATTTGCATATTAAAGCGAATTCTACTTACGGATGTATAATTGGTTGGAGTTTAGAATACGCTAAATAGATATCCAATCAATGATGCGCATAAATATAATTTGACGCAGATTATCCTGATCATGACAATACTTTCACAATGTCAACTGATAAAATGATAATTGTCATTCCAGGCTAGTATTTTCAGACATTTTACAGTGAAAATTTAATTTTGTATTTATTGTCATAAAAATATTTTAAATATGCCGAGATATACCGAGAAAGAACAAAGACTACATATCTATTTAAAAAAATAACCTTTTTACATTTAGTCGATTACGATCTTACAACTGTCAGATTTAACTAAAATGTCAAGCAATAATTTTCGACATTCTTAAAATCCTCTATGACGTCACATTTAGTGACGCACTGAAAAAAGGGTTTGGGACGGACCGTATGGAAACGCATTTTTTGCGTATCCAACTGTCAAGGACTGGTGATCGAAAATTTAAAAGTGGAAAAAGAAGACGAATGATAAGGTGCATTAAGTACTACATCACAAACAAGAACGTGACATGATGAATAGGACGTGCCGAAGGTTGTGTACGAAGACATCGTACACAAACTGGGTTACAGCAAAGTTTGTGCGTAAAGTCTTCCTCGAGTTTTTGTCAGATAACATCTTACTGAATACAGCGAAAACAGTAATAATTTTTTTTCTTAATAAAAACTGGCTATAAATCTTGATGTCATCATTTTAAACCATTATTAACCTGTCATCAGAGGAATGGAATTCTGCAGGTAACGTCGTGCTAACATTTTTTTTTTCTATCATGAATAGCTTCTTTCTTATAGAGTTTACACAACATAGAATAACATATTACCGCAAACATGTATAGTGAAACATTAAACAAGCTCCGTCAAGCAATAATACAAAGGCGTCCAGGGAAGCTTACACTTGGTGTCATTATCCTACACTACAAAAATCGGCCGCATGTAAAAGTCTGAAAAATATGTTAATAGGTAATAGTTGTCTGTCTGACGAAGAAATACAAAATAAAAAACAAAATTTGTTTTAATTTACTATTTGTATTTTGAGAACGATTTCCGAATTGGAAATTGAAACGTCAATAAATGTATTTTTATCTTTAATGTGGCTTATTCCCAGTTATAAATAGTAATTAATTTACAATGCCACAAGAAAATAGCTTCAGAACAATATTAAGAAATACAAAAGGTCGTAAAAGAATTAATAGCCAGATTTCGCTGAAAAGAAACTTTCATCTACACGGAGCCTTGGGAAAAAAGTTCCAAAAAACAATTCCTACTATGAATTTAGCATTTCCTCAGATTTTTTGGGTATAGTATTAGCTAAACCATACTTTCACGGCATTCTTGAGGAACGCTATCAACTTATCAACTTGTGAAAACTAAACAAAGGAATAGCCCATTTATCTTTTTGCAGATCATCTTAATCTTCCTGCTATCAGTTGAACATTCGAATAAACATAAAGAGAACTAAACACATTCAGAAGCTTCTACAATATATTCCAAATAATTATAAGGCATTTTACAATAGTGTCGGTGAATGACCTACTACCAGTGCCGAAGAAACGAAACATGCAGAAAGTTAAACTATCCTTTTATATTTTAAACGTTCTTGTTTTTTTTTCTCTTAATTTAATGAAGTAGTTTAATGCTTATGTTACGATTTTAAATGTTATGGCGTATAGAACTGTAAATATTTTATGACTAATTCTTTTGTATTGATTCTCGTAATTTCTAGGTCAAAAATCTACCTGACAAACAACAATCGAATGTTCTGGGGGCGACAAGCCGATAAAGAACATGTTTTGAGACCAGTCGCCGCCGTGTCTACGTCGAGATCGAGAACGGCATCGTATTTTCTACAACATTCTGTTACAAGCTGGTTTCATATAAATACCGGAAGAATTTCATTGAGGGGTTAGTCATAAGAAGATCGGTAAACGCGATATTTAAATGTAACGAACATGAAATAAATACATTTGTAAAGTTATTTAATAAATTAGTAATTAGCTATCGTGAGTTTTAATAAATTAGATTATAGACAATAAATAAGACCAAAGACAAATAAATCAGAACTATATAAACATACCACAGTGGTGTACAGGAGTGGGGTTGTAGATAAATTTAATTTGAATTTTTGAAAAGAAGTCAAATTGGTGAACGATGGCTACGATTTACGAGCTCACAGTTACGAATCTAAGAAGGCATCTTGAAGACAGAGAATTAGCTTCTACCGGAAAAAAGACTGAGTTAATCCAACGACTAAAGAAGGCCTTGGAGGAAGAAGGTTTGAATCCGGAAAACTTATATATTTGAAGACAAGCATGCTGCTGTCATCTCGTCGATTTCGAAAGTTTCTTCCGACGTAGTCAAAATCTCTGTGATGTAGCCAAAGTTTGTGTGTGACATCGCCTCTTTAGAAGACAAAAATTTCTAACGAGATTTCTTCTCTAGAAAGCAAAGTTTCTGCCAACATCTCCTTGGAAATCTCTAAAGTCACTGCTGAGATGTCTGCCCTCGACGACAGAATGTCTTCGTTAAAAAAACCAAGTTGCTGCCGATATGTTGGCCTTCGAAGAAAAGACGAAAGAGATGGAAAGGAAGATGGAGGGAACAGGAATGGTGGAGAGAGGAAATAATCCAATTACCGTAGAGACAAAAGAAGACGAGACGAAATGTAAGTTGGAAACGCGGCACGAAATTTGAAGGATGTGGAGTTTCTGTTCATGTTAAAGTTCCAACTTTCGACGGAAAATCATCATGGAACAACTACATGAAACAGTTCGAATCAGCTGCAAGAGCGAATGGATGGTCTGAAAAAGAAAAGGCTGTAAACCTGACTATAGCTCTTCGAGGAGATGCCTTAGATGTGCTCCAGACCATAGCCGTAGAGGAGACGGATGATTTTCGAACAACTGAAGAAGAGGTTAAATATGCGATATGGCCACGAACACTTGGAACATGTATATCAGTCGCAGCTCAAAAATCGAAGACAAAAGAAAGATGAGCTCTTCAAGAATATGAAGTAGATATCGCCAGATTAGTGCGATATGCTTATCCAACAGCTCCCGAAGACATGATGGAAAAGTTGGCCGTTCAAACGTTTATTGATGGTCTTCGTGATCATGAGATGCAAAGAACACTACGATTAGCTCGTCACAAGACGCTGGTTGAGTCTTATATCCGCCGCCCTCGAATACGAGTCAGCTACGCAGGCCTCTGGCGTTACAGTAAAGTTAGGACTGTAAAAAGGAAGAAGATGAAGGTAAACTTGACCAGCTCGTTAATATGATGAAAAGCATGACATACAAGAAACCGAAGACCATAAGATGCTGGACATTGTGGCGAAATAGGACATGTAACGAAGTTCTTGGTAAGCATCCAGGTACGACGCCAATCAAGAAACTCACCATCAGGAAAACTAGAACGGGTCGGCCTTAGGGGGGCAGCTTCGACCCAGAACTTTTCCAAAGACCCTCTCATACTGATAGCTTCTTTGAAATGTCGTGAAGATAGTGTATATGTAGATGGAGAAATAAATGGTAAAAAGCTTACGTTATTGGTGGATACTGGAGCGACAAGAACCATTAATCCCCCCGACAGTTATAAACAGCCGTAAGAAACTGTTACCAACTAGGTTGCGACTTCGGACCGCCACAGGTGAAAATGCCAACATTCATGGAGAAATCCAGGTACAATTAGGAATTGGAGCAGAAAAGTTCGTCCCATACTGTTATATGTTGCTGACATCGAAGAGGACGTTATATTAGGAATGGACGTAATTGAATACGCATGGGGATTCCAATTGGATTTTAAGAGAATAAGGTAATCACAAGAAGTTGGTGAAACCGTGGAGGAGTATAGGGGGGGGGGGGGGGGGGGGGGGGGGGGGGTGGTGTGTGGGGGCCGCGGGGGGGGCGCGGGGCGATGGGGTGGGCCGACATGTGTATGTGACGGCGGGGAGGACGGGGGAGCGGGTTATGCGAGGTAGGGCTT